CACGTTTATATGTGAGTTGTTACACGTTTGTTTATGAGCTGAAACAAGTTTATATATGACTTTCAACAATTTATGTGTTTGTCGCTAAATGTTTAAATATGAGTAGAAAATCTTTATAGGAATTGTTACATGTTCATATACGAATTATTTCATGTTTATATATGAGTTGTTATAAGTTTATATATGTTGTTATAAGTTAATATACGAATTGTTAAATGTTTATATATGAATCGTTATATGTTGATATATGTTGAAACTAAAATCCAGATATTGATGATTGTGCAAATACTCCGTGTAAGAATCAAGGGACTTGCATTGACCAGGTTAATTCTTTTAGATGTAACTGTGCTGCCGGATATAAAGGAACTACGTGCGGAGAAGGTAATTGAAACATATTGTTATTCCAGACATATGCCTTCTTATAACGAAAATGCAATAAAAGCAACAATCAGTTTTGTTCTTCGACGTTAGATCATGCATATAAAACTTGTTTAACGTTTCAGCGATGGCCAAATGAATAAAAATATTAAAACTGCATTGTAGCTCGGTAGGCCTTCATTCAAATGAAGACAGTTTGTAATCCTTTATTTTGACATGATTTTTAAATTTCCTGTAGTGATTTTGTAAGTTTTCCTTTGTATAAGAACAAGTAGAACAATTATATCCCTTTGTTGTCCTTTCTAGCCTGTTCGGATAATACGTACGGGAGCGGCTGCTCCCAAACATGCAACTGTAACGCATCCAGACTGGTGGGAAATGTTGGAACTCAAACCTGTAACCACAAAACAGGTTACTGCATATGTAATTCAAAATGGACTGGCCCTGCGTGTGAAACGGATGTTGACGAATGCACGGTAACTTGTTTGTTGTGTACATTGGGAGTATAAATATACCAGTACATGAAATTTTAGACATTATTGGGAGTATAAATATACCAGTACATGAAATTTTAGACATTATTGGGAGTATAAATATACCAATACATGAAATTTTAGACATTATTGGGAGTATAAATAAACCAGAACATGAAATTTTAGGCGTTATTGGGAGTATAAATAAACCAGAACATGAAATTTTAGACATTATTGGGAGTAGAAATATACCAGTACATGAAATTTTAGGCGTTATTGGGAGTATAGATATACCAGTACGTGAAATTTTAGACATTATTGGGAGTATAAATATACCAGTACATGAAATTTTAGGCGTTATTGGGAGTATAAATATACCAGTACATGAAATTTTAGGCATTATTGGGAGTATAAATATACCAGTACATGAAATTTTAGGCGTTATTGGGAGTATAAATATACCAGTACATGACATTTTAGGCATTATTGGGAGTAAAAATATACCAGTACATGAAATTTAAGAAATTATTGGGAGTATAAATATACCAGTACATGCAATTTTAGGCGTTATTAGGAGTATAAATATACCAGTAAATGAAATTTTAGGCGTTATCGGGAGTATAAATATACCAGTACATGAAATTTATAGGCGTTATTGGGAGTATAAATATACCAGTACATGACATTTTAGGCATTATTGGGAGTATAAATATACCAGTACATGAAATTTTAGGCGTTATTGGGAGTATAAATATACCAGTACATGACATTTTAGGCATTATTGGAGTATAAATAATACCAGTAAATGAAATTTTTAGGCGTTATCGGGAGTATAAATATACCAGTACATGAAATTTTAGGCGTTATTGGGAGTATAAATATACCAGTACATGAAATTTTAGGCGTTATTTCGTTACAGTCCCGAGAGCTATTTATAGAACGCCAGTGACGTTCGTCATTCAGAAACGAATACATGTAGTTACATAAAGAAAGTGAACCAATAGATTTGAGTTATCGAGATGTTTCCATATTGTTTAAGTATTTTATGGGGGCATATTTCATTTTCCACCTTAATTCTTTTGATTTGAGATTTATATGAAACGATTTATCTGAAAATAACATATTGAGCTGAAGGCCGCTTTAAGGGTAAATTAGATGTTCTGCTATTTTCATAACCATAAAAACGTTTTATAAAAATAATTTATTGTTATTTCAAGGATACCACCATTTGTAATAGTATCCCAAACAAGTTTTTGTGAAAATACCTTAGACGGCTATTATTGTACATGCAAAGTGGGGTACACAGAAAATACGGATAAAACATGCAGAGCAGGTGAGTTTATTCTTGTATATAAAATAAAGAAAGCATTATAGCTTTGTGGTCAAGATTGCCATAAAAAAGCATAGAAAAGATGATCGTTTAAGAATTCACCATTATGATCACGGAACTGACATTGAATTGATTGTTGTAAAAAAATGTGGAAATTTTCATTAGTTTTTTATAAGACTTCTTTATTTTTGCTAATATATATATATATAGAAAATTTATAATATATAAAATAGATGTTAATTATCAGTCTGAAAACAAGTCGGAACACGCGAGACTGATATACAAGTCTAGCTCTGTGACGCGATAATGCATTTTAGTTTTAAATTTAACTAATTGTATACTTTTTAACGACTTGACTGGGATGTCAAACAGAAAGACACATAATTATATATTTTAATATTTTTTTCCAAATTTTTTGGGTGGTGAAATAACGCAGCTAGTCATATTTTATCCGGTTCCTCGTAACACATGAAAATGCGCGTCACGTACACTATTTGTCACTTCATAAAATTAATAATTTGAAAATTTCATGGGGGGTGGGGGGCTTTTGTCCACCTTGTCATTTTTAATTGGGGGGCTTTTGTCCGGGGGGACTTTTGTCCATATCCCGTTTTAAATATCAATTCACGTTTTAAATACTTATCACTTTAATTCATCCCAAAATTTCTGTTGTCTGGATGACATTACTTGAAATCACGTCTTTTAAAGCCATTGTATGCTAAAATGTAGTCTCTCGTATTTGCCCTACGCAGAATGCGCATGCGCGAAATGTTACATCCGTCGCCATTAAAAAAAAATAGTACTGTTAAAAGGTCTATAAAGTTAAAAAAAAAGAAAAAGTTAATTTCCTAGTCTTTGAAATTTCCTAGTCTTTGATCTCGAAAAAACAATAGTTTGAAGTTGTTTAATCGTTGACCATTTTAATACTCAATAAATATAAAGTATTATTGTTTAATCAATTTGACATCCCCGTCCGCGTACTGTTGATATGCCATGCTAATCTAATGGTTAAAGATATATATTTCTAATAATTGATGTATTTCTTTTATTAATTTCTGTATATATTTTATCAATTCAGATAGAACAACAGTGTCATTATCTGTTGGAAGTAAGTATATAAAAATAGTATTAATGATATTAAATACGGTTTTAGTTAATGAGTCACTCAACTTAATTCGGCTATATCTAATGTCAATTATTTAATAGTACAATTAATTAAAATAAGACCGTGAACGAACTAAATGTAGAATTTTTAAATAATTCTTAAAAGGACAATTAAGTAGTGAAAAACATTAACATGCTTTAGTACGTTCATGATTACAAAATGACTTTATGGTTACAAAATAACGTTGATGTTTACAAGATTGCTTTGATGTTAACAAAATGACGTTGATGTTTACATAATGAAATTGATGTTTACAAAATGCATTTACTTACAAATGTTTATAAAATAACGTCGAAGTTTACAAAGTGATTTGAGCCGTGTCATGACAAAACCAACATAATGCGTTTGTGACCAGCATGGATCCAGACCAGCCTGCGCATCCGTGCAGTCTGATCAGGATCCATCCTGTTCGCTTACAAACCGTATAACAAGTAGAGAAACTGATAGCGAACAGCATGGATCCTGATTAGACTGCGCAGATGGCAGGCTGGTCTGGATTCATGCTGGTCGCAAACCCATTATGTTTTTTTGTCGAGACGCGGCTCATTTGGATGTTTACAAAACAACGTTGATGTTTGCAAAGTGACTTTGATATTTACAAAATGACTAAGTTGTATTTCCTTTCAAAGTTTGAAATCATCAGAAAAAAAAAACTTGAGTCATGATCATTAGGGATAATTGCCAAATGTTGAGAATATTGCTTTTACGGTGCTAGGGAGCGTGAGTGTTGTTGCACCTTTCATCATATCTCATGAACAGGCTCAATCAAACCGAGTCTGCAATTTTTCCAATGTTCGACTTCATGGACATTGGACTCGAGTGATCTCCCTTCTTCTACATATTTATCAAACTGCACCTAAAATACTTTTTCGTACGTGGTGAATATTAAATCATAAATATCCTATACGAGTTTATCATCATTTATTTTAAAACCAGAATTTGATAAAATCTGCTTTAAAGAATCTACTATGTCATTACTTAGTATAATTAAAAAAATAAATGTGTGCAATTAATGTCTTATACGTCTTTGCTATACAGCGAATGAATATAAAATAACTGTTAAAATGACCCTTGACCTACCATGTGTAGAAGACGATCTGAAACTACCACCGAAATATGATGCCCTTAAATCATCAATTGAAGCTATGGTAAGATTTTGCTGTTCTTAAACCAAAATACTTTAAATAAATACTAAAAACCTTCAGGTTTATACCATAATATAAAACAGTAATAAATTTTATTGTACATGTGCGTATGTATTCTCGGCTTAATGAGGGTCCATCAGCCCTTTTGGGCACTGATAGTACGGACGCCGGACGTCCTTAAAAGTTATGATCTGCCAAAAGTTTATCTGTTTGAATTCAGTAAAACATTTGCATAACGTAACACCATATTTCTATTGCGCGGCTAACACAGTGAGGGCCATTTAGCATACTTTGACATCATTTTATTTTTGTGATTTACATTTGTAAGTACCATTGCCAATGTGTAATGTTTTTGGTCACTTCACAAAGTTTTACTTTTTATACATTTTTTAAATGTTCGTGAAAATATCATGAATCTGGAGGCATACTCTTTTAACTGATACATATACATGTATATGAAAGTCTTCCCTAAATTATGTATAATAAATATATTGTGGTTTTATTTTTTGTAGTTGCGGGCACAAATTCCTTCAGTCATTCGTGTTATAGTCTACAATATACAGTAAGAAATTTCTATTGATTTTGTGTGTTGATTTTACTTTTTAAATTTACAATTTAAATTATCTGTAAGTGCGGAAACTGAACGAGAGGAATATGAACAAAATGGTAATAATTTTTTGAAATTAGCAAAAAGGTGATAATTTGGTGAAAATAGCAAAAAGGTGATAATTTGTTGAACTTAGCAAAAAAAAAGGAATTATTACGTGAAAAAGGAAAAAAAGGAAATGTTTTTGTCAAATTGAAAACAAAAGGTAATGATTTGGTAAAAATAGCATAAAGGTAACATTTTAGCTTTTTAATGACGGGAGAGGGATGGAAAAAATAACGAATTGCCAAATCATAGTGAAAAAAATGCGAAACAATATCATGCCAGAAAATTTATCTGTCTAACTTGAAATTAACAGTTCATCGCTCAGACATACATATATTTATTTACAGACATGAAGTAGTTTGATACTTAAATGATATATTAATAGATTATATATACGTTTATATTTTGGTGTAATTAGATTTCAATTTCATTGTATTTTCTTTAAAATATATGTTTGAATAAACTCTAATGCATGAGTTATTTTTATGTATTTTTTAAAGGTTTGATGAATTGCTACGAAAATCAAATGCCTTTTTTACGCTAGTTGGCTAATTTATTTAAACTATTTGCATATATAGATGTTACCAATTCAGTAAATTATCGCAATATCTTTAATGAAACTATTCACACTTGCTTTAAAATGTTCCGCTTCATTCCTACCATAAACACTGGTATGCAAATGGCACCCCTTGTACAATTACCTTCACATGCCTTCATTTTAACGATGAGCAGCTGTAAAATTATTCTTTTGTGTCCATATTGTGTTTATATTAACCATTAATATCATTAAAATTAATGTTGCAGACCGTGACATTGTTATATTTTATTTTGCAAAAATAAAAGCAGTTAAAATTAAAATTTTATTTTACTTTTTTTGACTCTCATACACTTCAATAAAGATAACATTTTTATTATGTTGTTTTTTTAAACAACTTGGTTTCCTCTCTGTGATGTCTACATAAATATAATGCTAAGACTGTTTTGGGGTGGTGTGTGGAATAAAATACTGGTTTTGATTAAACCAAAACTGGAACCCATTAGTTCGCCCATAACATAATGTTGCAGGTTCAATTTAACTTAATTTGTTCATATGAATACATTGGCATGTTCCTTTTCTCCCCAGGTGTGGTTCAGTGGAATTTGAGAGTCAAATGATAATAAGTAACACTGATGCTGAGAAATCTCGTGCTGCCCGTGATTTGCAAAACATAAGAAATGGTGGAACACTCGCTGTTGACGGGCTTAATACTAAAGCCACTGCTGTTACAGTTAACGGTTACGCATGTAATTTGTTTTCTTCATCTTCCAGGTTTACCGAAAATCCTATATAAAATGTTTTGGAAATGTATTTGGTGCAAGGACTTTATGCGGATTTCGTTTTATTATTTTTTCCATAAATGTTTAGCATCATTTAAAGTGAAATCACTTAATTTATAATATACTTGAAACAATAATTAAGTTAGTTGAAGTCAAAATGATACTAAGTTTTATATACCAAAGCGTCGCACTCGGTATCCGTACATACTACATTATCAACGGTATACATTCTGTACATACATGTACTACATTATCCACGGTATATATTCTGTACATACTACATTATTTACGGTATATATTCCGTACATACTACATTATCCACGATATAATTCCGTACATACTCATTATTCACGGTATACATTCTGTACATACTACATTATCCACGGTATATATTCTGTACATACTACATTATCCACGGTATATATTATGTACATACTACATTATCCACGGTATAATTCCGTACATACTACATTATCTTTATAACCTATAAATCTATAAATTTTGAAATATATATCTTACGGTTGTATTGGCACAAACGAAACGTAAACTGTTAAGTAAATGTTAACATAATGGTCGAAACTAATGATTATAAATTAATATTTCAGTGAGTACAACTATTGGTACTGACAATACAGGAACCAAAGTCTGTAGAGTTTATTCAACAATAGTCACGTGCCCCACAGGACAGACGTGTCAGTACGTAGGCAACACTGCCTCCTGCAGGTAATTAAATCATTAGTTTTTTTATCTTTAAAGATAGTCTAAGACAAACCGGCGTCTAATGAATTTAATAATCTTGTATATGAACACTTATATGAATCTTGTATATCTATTTTGAGTTTTTTTCAAAGGAGTATTAGTCGTTTTAGATTTTGGAGGATAGTGCAAGATACAGATACAGTTCCTGGTTCTTTAACGTGCCAAGTGTCTAAGCACTCATACACGGGACCTCGATTTAAGGTCTCACCCGAAAGACTGCTTTGTAATTTTAGTTGGACTGCCATGGAATCGAACCCACAATGTCGAGTTTAAAAGTATGTCGAGTTGTTTAAATGATTCTAATTCATAATGATATCAATAACAACAAAACAATATCGTTGTACATGTATATTGTTTATGCAGCTCTATAAAAATAGTTTTCTTTGAACCGTTTAGGAACGGAATTGATAAACAAATGCATCATATACATATTTGTATTATACTGTTTATTTAAAACTAATATGTTAACCCACTTTTATAATTCTTTTTCATTTTAGGACTATTCAAACAGGTGAGCTTTCTTTTTTTCCTCTCTTTTTAATTGACATATAATTTATAAGAAAAAAAAAGTATGATGTATGAGCCATGTATTTTATCTTTAACTCTTATATGTACTTATTTGATATTCTTTGTTGATAATTGTCGAGGCAAAGTACAACTCACTTGCTACATGTATTTTATTTCTCTGCCAATAAAAATGTC